TTTACTATTACTAGTATTTAAATGACATAATAAGATAATCGTTGCATGAGAATTTGTTAAATCACGGGTGAATATCTAATGTCTAGTTCCAAATGCTATTAAAAAATCAATTTGAATTTTTGAATTTGTTAAATTTGGGAAAATTTAAGGAGAATCTTGTATTACATTTTTAAAGTTTAGATAAAAATTGAAAATTTATTATGAACTTCAGACTGGAAATAATATGTTAAGTTTTGTGATTGTTGGAATGTGTTATCAACATTTTAACTTCACTCATAAAAATAATTGTGAATTTATGATTTTTTTTATTTTTATTTTCACTAACAATATAGAAGTACATATTATTTTATTTTCAAGGCTTTGGAAAACTATTGGTAATTTTTTTACTTTCAATCCCTCAAAGTACCAATTAGATTTACTCTYTTACAAGAAAGATAATTAAAATAACTTTTTCCTAAAAGGTGATGACACAAAAAAGAATGAAATATAATTGTAAAATTATTACATTCATCGCTCTGTTCAGAATGTACAAAAATCAATACATTCTTTCTCATTCGGTTGAAATTCTTAAATGGTATTATTATTTTAAATAAAATCTTACATTTTCTACTTTAAACTCGAAGGTTGTGGTAATCTGTATTTGTGCATTTCAATCTCAGCATCAAAATATGAATTTTTGTGGTAACTAAAATATTGTGGATTCTTGTATGGACCGTTTTCTGCAGCTTTCTTTACACGCTCTATAATATAAAAATCAATGTAATAAAAAGAATAATAACATTGCAGAGTATAGGCTCTCTAAYCACCAAGAAAATATGAGTGCACAAACAAAAACCAGTAGCTTTCTATTGCAAAGCCACAAATCTCACACTGAGATCAATTATGTCTCTTAATAAAAAGTAACCTGCAAGGATCTGCATTTGTAAGAGTATTCTCTTGGTAGACAATAGTACAATATTACATTTTTGTAAATAAATAAAACTGTTGGTAAAATCATGTTTTACCTGGTGGTGGATTAGCAATGATAACCTTGGAACTCAGACCTTTAACATTAGATGTTATGTCTTTTGGTTTTTCAGTTGTGGCCGCAAATCTGCGGAACTAAAAATGTATCTTCTTAAAACTGGTATAAATACATATTATAATCATTAATAAAATTCCAAAATATTTAACAACCAATATGATCTAACTTTGACATTGACTAAATAGAATATCAAAATAAAAAAGTATAAATAAGTAATAACTTTACCTGATGGTTAATCAGACATGATTTAGTTAAAACATTGTTTATCCTCATTATTTTAAGTTTAAAAGAATAKTATTCGTTGTTAGTTGAATTAATATTTTAAACTATTATATAGTATTGTGCAATATTAATACCTTACCACAATGATCAATGGTAAGTACTGTAGTAGTGTAGTGATAAAGATAATATAAGTAGTAAGTAGGATAAAAATTAAAAAGTGCAAACTACACCACAATATTATCCATAGTTTCAATTATTATCAATTATCATCTAACACATGTTTTTCTTGAATCTTGTTGCATCTATGGCGGTGACGGGCACAGAGTTAGTTGTACGCGTCGGACCTTATACATATATATGATCTAAGCGTCGGACAGACTGAATATGTGGGCACTGATTGTCATAATCAAACATATGGCTTGTTCAGTGGCACCATATTCGTAATTATTTTGTTTTAATAATGTTTTTGATACTTTGGACTTTTATGTAGATAAGACATAAGGAACCAGAAAATATTTAAATATTCAATTTCTAACGCATTTGAAATTTTGAATACAAACATAAATATAATAATAGGTATATCATTATCTATATTAATAGATCACACTAAGTGGAAATTCAGTGTGAACTTAGTTAAAAACTAAAATCATAATTTTGATATTCATAAATATACCTAAGTAAATCTTAAGTAAATTGTTAGTGAAATCCAAAAGTTAGTAAATATATAGTAAATTAGTATTCATAAATAGGAATTAACTATTAAGTTAGATAGTTCTTAGCATGACTAAATAGATTTAGTCATGGTTCTTAGAGAATAATTAGTAAATGGTTAGCAAGCTTTGTTGTCATTTGAATTTTGTATTAATTTTGCAAAAATTTGATTGATATAAGAAAAGTCTATTTTTATGTTGAAGATTAATAAATTTATACATATTTTATTTAAATTTACTTGAAAGCAAAATGGATGATTTTGTGGATTTCGATGACAATTATGGGTTTATAAACGAACCAGTTCAAATTAGAGCTAGGGAAGTATATAAAAGAAATAAGTCAGACCCTTTGGATATTTATTCGAACTACGAGTTTTTCAGATGATTTCGGTTCACTAAGGAAATTTTTTCAAATATATTTAATGCCCATGATATTTCCTGAAGTTGACCAAAATGTTAACACAGATATGAGAGGATTACCCATACCTAATTCATGGAAACTTCTTACGACATTAAGATTTTATGGGACAGGATGCTACCAAGTAATTTTATTTAATATCATTTATATATTTAAATTTAATTAATACAATCGCATTTTTATTAAACTCAGTTGGTAAATAGTGATATGTTTGAATTAAGCTAACCGACAGTCAGTCGTATAGTTAAAGATATTTCCTTGAAAATAGCTAAGAATCTAAGAACATGGGTTAAATTTCCTCAAGCCAACCAAGTAGAAATAATTAAATTACATTTTACGAAGTAGCTCGATTTTCCGGTGTTACCATAGCTATGGACTGTACCTATATACCAATTAGCAGTCCAGGTGGTGAAAATGCCGAAGTATTCCATAACAGAAAAGGATGGATGTCCTTTAATGTTCAGTTAATAGTGGGACCTGATATGGAAATTTATGATGTAGTTGCCAGATGGCCTGGATCTGTGCACGATTCAAGAATCTTTCAGAATAGTAGAACTATAGAGTTGATAGAAAACAGGTAAATTTACATGATAAATTGAAAGTTATTATATTAAATTTGGAGGTTTTTATAATCAAATATTTTAAATTTAAAAATAACAATTTTAGAACTGTCCAAGGTATATGTGTAGCTGATRGTGGTTATGCACAGACACAGTTTATCTATACCCCACATTCTAATCCTATTACAAATGCATAAAAGAGATACAATTATGCTCACATTAGAACAAGGAATGTGGTTGAACGTGTCAATGGTTTATTAAAAAGTCGATTTCGSTGCCTCAGTCGTAAATTAGGAACTGYGACTACAAMATCGAGTAATATCATAGTTGCATGTGTAATATTACACAATATTTGTATTAAATATAAAAATTACCTGGATTTTGATCAAGATGAATCACAGTTACAACCAGAGACAGTCAATGCTGAAGTATTTGTTGACGGTGAAAATGGGTTCAATATAAGAAACTCTTTTATAAATAGACACTTTAACTAAACTTATAGATTAATAGATATTTTAATAAAATAAACATTAACATAAAGTAATTTATAACATTTTTATAAAATCATTAATAAGTAACAATRTACATTTTTCATTACAATTTAATACAGTATTTTAATCACATAAAATTAATATAAGAAAATTAAAATAAGCAGTGAAATTAATATTATAAGTTAAGTAGGTTAACATACCTACATATTTACATTTTTTTTATTACATTTTATATATTATTATTACATTATATTAATATTRTTATATTATATTGTTCAAATATATAACACATTTGTTATTTATAATTATTTATTAATTTTCACTTGCATATTTTAAAATAATTATAAGTTATACCTATAGGAACATTTAGTTACTTAAGTTATTTTGAAATAATTATTTATTGTATTTTATTAACTATTACATTTTAAATCAATCATCCATTCATTTCGGGGGTGGGGGGGTGACCCCCCCTGCGCCCGCCACTGGAATTACTACTCAAAAATAGCTAGCTCCAAGCAAAAAGCATATATTATTATGATTTTTAAAGAATATTGGAAGAATATTTTCAACTTTTTAAGAGAATATTAACATCTTATATTGGCTATTTTTAAAGAATATAATTCCGGGTTCTAATCATCATAAAGTGACTACTTTATATTATAAAAACAAATGTAAACGAGAGTAGTATTATTATATTAATGTATTCTATATTTCTATAGATTACCAACTCTGTAAAATAATATCCAAATTCTCTGGTGTTGGTGATAGCATATCTCTGCTTAATGCATCTGAATCGAGAGCACTGTGAATTTCAACATCACTTATTTTTGGCAAAAACTGATCAATAACTTCACTTGTACATGCTACTTCTTCTGGCCCACCACTGTTTTTTTTTTTTATTTCGCATTTCTGCACAGAGCTCAGTTTTTTTTTGCATTTTTTCTATTTTCCCAGCATTTTCTAAGGTTAGCAGTAGTACGCTATTACAATAATATAATAATATAATATCATATGTTAAACGAAAATTTTACTAATTATGTGTTACACTAATTAAATAGCTTACAGTAATGTTTAACGAAGCAGCATTGAATTCATTTGTGACTATACTCCAGTATTTAGTTTTTTGTGCTACTTGTACAGCACCCTTGTGTTTATTTTCTAATACATTTCTGTATTTATATAGTAAACTATCAATATTATAATATTGCCATTAAACCAAAAATAACCTTTTCATTTTTTACATTCTATAATTGTAATTAATTTCTACTAAAAATATTGTTATGGTATTTTTTTATTTATTCATGAGGTAAATGAATATATATTTTATACTATTATAATTTTTAATGTACTAAATAGGTATAAACCATGATTTTAGTTTAGCATTTTGGGTAAGTTATTAATACATATTCAATGAATAATTCTTTTTATTTTTAAATAATATGTTCCTTATATAATACATTTTTATCTCTGGTTATTAAATA